CTCGCACTGGCAGCCCGGGCGCGACCTGCGCGGCGCGCGCGGAATGCGGTGGGAAAGTCCTTGTCTGACTCACGGCGGAGCCCTCCCTGCCGGCCCACCCTCCCCGCCTCGCCGTGCCATCCGCGTCGCTGCATGGCTGTTCGCTGTAACGTTCGATCTTACAAAGTTATGGGGAGTAACGAGCGAGGGTGGGGGGCAGTAGTATATGACAAGAGCGGCGTCCTCCCTGTCTCCGGGTCCAGGCGGAGGGATAAGATATCGATTCTTTTTATTTGTTCAGGTATGTTGCTGTATAGTCGTTGATCCTCCCAACAACTCTTCCAAACAACGGTCCAGTAGCTCAGTGCAAAATTTACGGTTCGTTGGCGAGGCCTGTATAAGAGATCGTCCAGAAAGTACGCCCATTTTCCTCAGATGCATGATTTGGTTATATCACGGGAGCTCGGCGCCTGCGAGACTCGGGGTAGGCCACCCCGCAGTACACGCATGCACTGCAGACAAGATGTTGCCTACCCAACAGGCGCTACGAGTCCTCGCGAAGAGGATAAACTCGGCACGTTCGGAACGACAAATTGAATGACGGACGTACTTTCTGGATGATCTCTAAACCAAGCCCCGTTTCCAGTAGAAGAAGGTAAAACACGATGCATTGAAAATCAACTTTGTTGAAACAAGGATAGATCGATGACAGGGCATAACATTGCGTGAGATCCAGGCGATGACAAGTCCCCCGCGCTCGTGCTGCATCGCGATCACTGCCCCATAGTTGCGGTTGGAATAGATTCCTTTGGTCGCGTTGCGTCATCCTTCGGGCCGGGGCTGTCGCGGGCAACGACCGATTTTATTCACTCTTTGTCGTGTTGTCGTGTGTCGCCTCGAATGCGATAGAAGAAAATACTTCACACTTTCACCGATGAAGACGATTCCGAAAGGGAATTAAGTAGAAGGGGGAGGAGGGGGAAGGGGGGGGCGGTGTGTGACTCACACGTATTGTAATGTGCGTCACGTTTTGTGTCCTGCATGGGAGAGCCGGGAGAGAGAGAGAAAAGGGAGAGAGAGACGAAGAGGGAAGGAGAGAGAGAGAGAGAGAGAGAGAGAGAGTGAGTGAGTGAGTGAGACAGAAAGAAAGAGAACTAAAGGGACCGAGTGAGTCAGTGGGTGAGTGAGAGAAGAGATAGAGAGAGGGAGGGGAGGGGGGGGGGGTCAGACCGAGACCCTTCCTCTCTCCCGCTCCGCCGCAATGCTCGCGTAGCTGCGCGTACGCCGGGCTGCACATGCAGGGTCTGCTGACTGTCGCGATAAGCCCTCTGTTTCTGTTTATCC